GAACGTAGTACCGTACCTACCGTACGTTCGTACGTAGTCGACGGACCCGTCCGTCGTCTCTCTACGACGTACTCTACCTCCTACGTATTAGTATAGTGAGGCGTCTCTCTCTCTCTCTCTCTCTCTCTCTCTCTCTCTAGACATATTAGAAGAAGCAAAAGAAGAACATCCTCCAAGTGTTCTAAACCGCTCTCTCACAAATACGGATTCAAAAGAAAAACGAGGATGATCTTTAAGGATTTCATGAGAGGCCTTACAAACACACACATATGCGCACGCAAGCACACTACCATACACACACTACACACATATACATACATGCACGTTCAAAAAACATGCGCACAAAATTACATATGCCCGCCCCCAACCCCCTGCACATGGGGCTGCCCACATATCTGGAGTCCCACCTAGGTGATGAGAGTGTATAGAAGCCAATTCTCATATACGTGGAGTACACCTATGTCAAAACTCAAGACAATACAACTTGAATTATGCACAATACACTTGAAATTCAACTTACAAAATGAAATTACAGCAAGGTAAATGAAATTACAATAAACAAATGACTTCAAAATAAACTAAAAAATAGAGGATACAAGTTAACTAGGGTCCCTTGTCCATCAACAAAACAAATTACAAGGAGATCATCAAACTACACATGTATGAGGTGCTTTTCAAAATTCGACACCACTCAAAATTACAACGCAAAATTATACATCAATAAACTCCATAAAACTCAACATGACATGATCTCCAACATAACAACACACATATGCTCAAGTGTATAGTGCATCATGGTCATGGGAAGCCGATTAGAGAACTCGCGTGCCTGGTTTACAGCCTCAAATCTTAACTATGCGCCATTGGGTGACATATGATAGCATAGCTCAGAATTCGACCAAATTATCATCTCAAGAGTGGGAAACCAAGCATCTACAAATATCCACTTATAACATGGTAGGATTTACAGAGACCAAATGATCTAAGCAAGTGGAAAAATCGTGGGAGAAAACGATGCTCTTTAACACAAAACCAATTCAATTAAGTTCACATATCAAGCTACATAAATTTGGTATAATCTTTGTTGGCTATATGGTCTTCTAAGGCCTTAATGCCAAGAGTCTTTTGCTCAGTGGGAGTATGAGAGAGACTGAATTTGGGTGCTTTCCAAACTGAGACCTAGATTCATATACCCCAAGTACATGAGGCAACGAGTGTTTGCACTTTGAAAGAGTAATCTCTCACGAAGGTGTGAGGGTCACCTCCGAGTCAGGGCTATATAGATTAGGATGCCTCATGATTAATGTGATTGGCCAGGACTAGGAGAACCAAACGAGTACAATAGAACTCGAGTATTTTCAAGTATTCGCCCTGTGTAATAGAACTCGAGTATTTTCAAGTATTCGCCCTGTGTGGAGTGGTCATGACTCAAGGCACATGAGTTCGAACCTTAACACAAGACCACACCACGGCATGTGCATTAACAATCGCATGGGAAGCCACTCTTCTACAGTATAATTAAACTTAGAAGAGTTAGTACACATTTGCTATGAGAAGACCTCTGTTTTAGAGAACTTATATGTCTCATAGAGGTGCACCTGTAATAAATTGAGAACCCAATGATGGAAAGCTTTGTTAGAGTGACTATAATGTGGCCAATTATGTATCCCTGCCATAGGCTGTGTAACATAAGTCTGTTGGGTCAACTTGATACTACGGTGGACCATCATTTGGGACTAGCCCAATAGAGTACTCCAATACCTAGTGTTTAACCTAGAGATTCATTATCAAAAAAAAAAAAAGATTTCTTTACCTTTCGTCCATTTAATTTAATCTTGATGAAAAATGATGTAGTAATGGTGAAATATTATTTAGAGAACTTTTGAAAAAACTTTTAATATTTTAAAGCACATAAAATACCATTTTTAAAATTATTTGGGCTTAATTCCACTTGAGGACATCCCATGGGGAGGCCACATGAACCCCATGTGACCATAGGGAGTCCACGTGGCAGCCACACATGCCACCTTATGGCTAGCGTCAGGCTAACGTCATGGCCTTGTCATGGGGGCCCTTTTGGAATTGCGCATTTTGTTTTATTATGACATGTTTCTGTTAAGTGATTTTAACATAATGTTTTTAATTAATTTGTCACATTATTTACTACACGTGACATATTTTGGCATGTGTGATGCCATATTATTTGCAAAATAATTTGAATTAAAAACCTTATCCATATGAGATATTTTAGCATGTGTGAGTTTCTCACGTAGCTTTACCTTATAGATTTGAGCCATGTGAAGAATATGTTGGTGAGATCCTATCAAATGTGTCATAAAATATTTTCTTCACACATGTGGGTTTGTACTATTACTAAAAAGGACATGATCTTGTACATAAAATGTTTTATGATTTTATCAAAACCCATGAGCTTTTCTGGAATCTCTATTATGGACTAAAGTAGAAAGTTTGTATGGGGCAAGGACCAAGGTGTAAAAGGTTTAAAGTAGGGTTTAAGGGGTGATAAAGGAGACTAAATCTCATCCCTTGACCTAGATAGCTGGAGGGGGATGCGTGTCTAGGATTATGCCCTCTCATGTGTCAAAGATGAGGAGCACCAAGGGCTAAGATCACTTCACAACAAACCACTTAATATAAATATTATATAAAGTTCAACTAAACCTAACAGGAAAGATCACTTTTATGAATCTAGAGAGAGAAAGGGAGAGATCCAAGGAGCTCCATGCCCCACTCCATAGGTCATTACAGTTTCTATCCAAGCTTGATGCCCCACACACCCATGGTATGCTAGTTTCTGCTTGATGATCAATTGGATCCTTCTCACATTAAGGTAACCATTTATTGAGTTATGGTTATCATTAAAGCTTGATTTCTTCTTCCATTGCTTGCTGTAAATGTTATATTATAGTATTTTTTCATTGAATCATCCTTTTGTTTCAATGCTCTTTCATGTTCTATTAAAACTATATACACCACACCTTGAGTATGTGTAGTTTTGCTTGAAACTACATCACCTTGTCATCCATTTCCATAGTTTTTGATTGCCTGAATTTCCAGAGCATTCTAATGAGTTTTAAACACCATATTAGGGGGATTTCATTCATATTAATGGTTGAATAAGATATGAGATTGTGGTGGCCATGTTGCTTGAGAAAATACCTTGTGTTTCCATGCTCCACAATGTGTAGTGCAGATTGAATTTCCTACGTCTACATCTCGATTTCTATAGACTTTCTTTGCCCGATTTTTCTGAGCATATTACTAAGTTTTATACATCAGATCAGTGACTTAATTACCATATTTGAGAATCTAAAGTGATGGTATGTGATTGCCATTGTTCTTGAGAGAAAGTGTTGCATCCCCATGCTCCATAAAGTGAAGGCTACATATTATTCAAGCTTTGTGAGTTTGAACTCTCTCAACTCTTTATGAAACTTGATCCCGAACATATTTCTCTCTAATTGAACCTTTATAAGTGGTTCACAAATGATCATAAGCTTCCCATGGTGAAGTGATCCCTAGAGTAATAAAACCATCCATGCTCTCATCGATGGGACAGCATTAACTCCCTAAAAGATCCATTTTGTGATCCGGGCACAGAGGGTTCGACCTTTAGCTTCTCAATGATTGCTTGCATGCTTATTTATTATAATTTACAGTTATTTAATGGTTTATGCTTTTCAAGGAATTGAGCATATCAAATGTGGAACATATTTGTTCTTACGTCTATGAAGTCTATGATTTAATGCCATAATAAATTATTGGCTTATGACATGCAAGTTGCATTCATATTTGGCTCATCATGATCAAGTCTATCGCACATATGTAATCTTGTGATTTTGATGAAGATTGGACATGAAGTAATGATGTAATTCCTAAGTGATGAGAAATGTTTTAGTAGCATATTGTGTTGTGTTGTAAACACAAGTGTTTGAGTATTTGAGCAATGTCTTGTATTTGGTTGTATTTCAAGTTTGGGATTTGTAAAAGGACCAATTAGAGCTGTAATTTTATTTTAAAATTTGAATAAGTCAAGCTAAGTGGCTGGAATTTGTGCATTATTATCGTCTTTTGTGAAGGATTTATGTATTTAAAAGTTCATGGTTTCACAATAATGAAAAAATGTTAAATTGAGTCATTAGAACCCTGGTCTTATACCACCATCAATCTCCTCCTGTGAAAACAACAATTTGAGGCATCAAAATGAAGATCTAATTAACTGATTTGGAGAAGAACATCCTAAAAAAATATTAATAAAAAATGCTCAAAACATCACAAGGTAAAGCTCATGGAAACTAGATCAATTTATGGATGGATGATGCCTTCAACTATATGGATCAAGAGTGATCCAGGTAGATTCAAGAGATCAATGATCTAACATGAAAATGATGAAGATAGCTTGCTGTAATTGAGAATTTACAGCAAGAGGAATAAACTATAATCAAAGAAAATGCAAGCAATCTTACTCAATTGATGAAATCCTTAAGACTAGATCATCCATGGTTTGAATTTGAGCTTTGTATCACCATTAATAGAGTCATGAAGGAGCTTCAATAGAGTTTTCTCTTACATCATCTTGAAAGCAATTTTCCAGAGAGAGAAAGGAAGAGGAGAAAACTCTTGGGCGTGCCACTCTAGGATAGATGTGATAGAGAGTGGTGTGCCAGTTAGAGAGAGAGAGGTTGTGAACTCATGTTAAGAATGAAGGCTCAAGGAGGTATTTATAGGCTTCTAACCCTTTGGTGCTGGCCAATCGTAACATTTTCTCTTTTGGGGCTAAGATCTAAGTGGGAGGGAAACCGAAATGGGAAAGAAAGCATGGGCTGGGATAGAAGGCAAGCAAGCAAATAGTTAGATGCCACAGGTGGGAGAGGTTAGATAGGCTCAGTAGGGAGACATGGCTCAGTAATGGGAATAATATAATAATAATATCTAGAATAGGAGGTGTACGGGGTGGATGGGAGTACTCACTAATATGCACTGGAAAAATGATTATATGCATTAGGCCCTCAACGAAGATCAGCACTCACAACTGAAGCATAAAAGCTATCTGAGGGCAAGAATAGTTGAGCTGGATGTGGGAGATAAAAGCTAGAGCGGCAAGAGAATAATCGTGAGATTCAACAGTATAGTAAGCGAATACTACTTGATTGGATTGAATGGGCCAAAGTTGCGAAGAGAAGCTTCAAATGATGTTGAATAAAAGGTGCTTATTCTCGCTTGGGTACAACAGTCACTATACATGTGATTTTCTCATACCCCCATCAAACCATATTCTAACGTCATTATACACTATGAATTCTCTTTATCTATTGACCCCTCACCCTGGCTCACTCCATTCAAGGCATGGTTACTTCAAGTCCCTTCCCTAGCACCTCCGCCTCATTAGTGGCATTCTCACTGTCAATCTATAGCTTGCTTTCTCACAGTTCTATTTAAAAGTCAAAGTACCTTTTGGCTTGCTTGATACATTCATCTCTCTTTGCCCAGGCGAGCCCTCATAATCGGAACTCCTTCAATTGGTTCAAAACCATAACTGAGACAGAGCTCACACCTTCCTCGCATAGATGCTTCTAGATTGATGAATCTTAGCCCTCCATGTCATCATCCAATGGCTACAAAGAGAGTCTTTATCCTAGCCCACCATCCACCATCATGTCATCAACATGTAGTATGAATTTAAGCACATTTATCTTCATTTAATTCACTCCAATTCCCCATGTTATTAAAATACCCATGCTCTTATAATAATTTGATAAAACTAAAAAGTAAATCTCAAGAGTTGGAGGGCATACCCTTATGGTAATTTGATAAAATTCCAGCAAAAAATAAATCTCAAAAGTTCCCTCTATTTTATAAGAGCATGTGGGACTAATGACATCATGCCACACAAGCTAAGTGGTTAATTGCACATTTACCATATACCATTAGAGTTAGACTTGTAATTACAAACCCTATGCCCCTTCTAGAAACCTCCACACATGCGCACAAATCCCTTGCTTTTTGTTGCATTAAACATGTGCTAAAAAGATTTTTTTAAAATCACAATATTTCATAAAATACCAAAATTCAATGCCCCTTACTAAATACAACAATATACAAAAGGACAAGGGGGTCCCTTACGGGGTTGAAGCCACCCTGTCATCCTCCATGTGGGGTGACGTACCCTAGGCCTCCATGTGGACACCCATTGGCTATTTTGGGTGTCCCGTGTCGGTCCCAGAGGACTGCCCTTTAACGTCATTCCTGTAAACAATTCCATAAAGTGCATTTTCTTGTTCAGAAAAATAAAAAATAATCACAAAAATCATTTAATTGAATTTTCATCAAGATATATTATTTTAACCAGTGATTTAAAAAGCGGACCGCCCAACGCTTAGGTGGTCTGAAAGGCTTAGGCGCATCGCCCAGGCCTAGGCGGCTAATCTGAACGGTTCATCCCTGGTCGGCCGCCCAGAGCCTGTGCCCCGCCCAAGGGCAGAAATCCATTTTGATGGGGGCAAATTTGGTCATTTTTTATCGTTTTTAAGCCCCAAAATTTAGGGTTTTAGGTTCATTTGAAACCTAAACCTTGTTTGAGCCAAATTTAGAGAGACAAAACCATGTAAAATTAGATTATGGTGAATATTTCAAGATCGAAGGGTTACTCAAAGTTATCCAAAATTGATCAAAACATCACCCATTGGTACTATATTTACTTTTTGATGTTTCGCAAAGTTATTAAGGGGTGTTTTGGAAGATTTTGAGCATTTAGAAACATCTTTAAGGTGAAAGTTTGCAGATTGAGCAATCAAACTCAGTTACTCAAAGCAAGTGAATTTTTTTATTACTTTTGCGGTTTAGCCTTTAGTAATTTGCATTATTTTTAAGATGTCTTTTTCGAGATCTAATAGGAGTGGTGATCCCGGTTGGAAATACGGTTATAACCCAGATCCTAATGATAAAATTGTATAAGATACATTTTTTGTGAAAAGGATGCAATTTAAATCATATAGATCAACTAAATCCGATGATTTATTCTCCTGAACATGAGGCTCCTAATGCAAAGCACATGCATAAAACAGGTGATCGAAGGCAGCTTCATCATTCCGCTCCAACTCTAAGGCGAACTTTGATCCATGCTATTCTACATATAAACCCTCACGAATTGGATCTATCACCGTAGATTCCTCTTCGTCTACGGCACGTTGTTGCTAACCTCGCTTGCGCAGCAATGGATTTCTAACCCTCCCTGTCAAGATGTTGATTTCCTTGTGCAGTTAGATCATATCAGCATCCCTACGGCTAAGAACTCTACAACCAACCATTGCAATCTCGAGCCGACCATGCTCTGATACCGCTTAATGCAGAAAGAAAGGTGGGAAGTTAAATCTACCCTTTTCCTGAACCTTAAATAACTAAAATCACCAATAATAGAGAAAGAACGTGGTCATGAATCAAGTTAAGAGAATGAGAACTTTCTTTTTTCGTAAAATAAAACTCATTCCACTAACATCAATCTTGCAAAATGCAAAATCCAACCTTTTATAAGCCTATGAAACCTTAACTTAACTTGAAAATCAAATAAACAATTAAGACTCTAAAATACCCCTTAACAATATTAAAATTTCAAAAATACCCCTATGAACAGTAATGTGTGAACTGTACACATAAACAATAACGAGTGAACAGTATCCATGAACACTACCATGAATAGTTCTTGTGAATAGTAAATAACGAAAATATAAAAAACCTTAGAATCCCAAAAAACTAAAAAACTCTAAAATAAACCCCAAAACTAAAATCAAAATATACATCCTTTAAAATTGAATAAAAATAAAAAATAAGAATAATTTTGCCCTCCATTAACTATCTTCCGTAGATAACTAACATAAATAATACCAGAACTAGATAGATACTTTATCCCCATAAGAAAAGCATACAGTTCACATGGTGCTAGAGAATCCCATACCACCCATCAAATGCATACCAGGGAATCACAATCAATGATCATATCATCAAGAAAAATGATAGCATTACACTTGCTTACACCATAGTAGCATGACCAACTCCATACTTGCTCACTGTGGGAGCAAGAAAATCTCCATTTGGGCTCCCTATAACAATAACCTTGTAGGAGGGGATCTCTTGGAAAATATTCTTTATCTATCTTAATATACCACTTTTTATTCTGTAAATTTCTTTTCTTAATACTAAACTCATATATTCATTCTTCACATGACAACTCTTACACGAAACAAAGCTCAAAAACAAATTTAGTGAGGCTTGGACTTGTGTGGTTAAGGTGTCGATGGTGACAACATTTTGTTTCAAGTGCAAATCCTACAACCGAACTACCAATATGAAAGCTTGAAATTGAAGTCTAACCTGGCACGTGGCACCAACATTCGGGTGGCATCCAAGAGATCTTGCAACTGAACAGCACTTTTAAGTTTAGTCTGCAATAATACACCAAGCAGCAGAAATAGAAAGAAAAGAAAAGTTTCAATAAAACTCCATATCAACTATGCAATACAAAAAAGACCCAACAAATGGACGAGGTAGGCATAAGCACCTCTGATCTAGGCCTCCCACCATTATATTTCAGCATAAGGTTCAAAAGTTTTTCCTCTGAAACTTTAAGCTTCACCTTTTGCTTAGGCGTACGATCGCCGCTAAGAAGAAAAAAAGTGAATTAGTTCATCAAATACTAAACATGCAGGAAAAATATCTTGTTGACATAGCAAGAAACAAATCTTACTGGCGAACTACAGCGATAACACAGCGTAATTCCTCAGACTGCCCAAATGTTCCAATAATTCCACTTCCTTGCTTTGTTAATCCTTCAGAAGGTGGAACAGGTTCATTCACCTTCCATGGGAGAGTTGGTGGAATGGTGGAAGAAAGATGAGGTGCTTTCGCATCAAGAAACATTTTCCTCAAAACGCAAGCAGCATCATCGTAATACCTACACCATATATTAACAACTGACAAGAGAGTCGCAAAAGTAACAAACAGACTTCTATGATGCATACTGGAATGCTATGAAAGCAGCAGCAACAGTTTCAATGCTTACTTGTGAGAGTTCTTCACAAAACTCCATCCATTCACATCACAGACATAAGATCTTCCTTCACATCTCAAGAGATCGAAACCACAAACCTTTAAGCAAGCAAAGAATAAGCAAGATAACTTTTGTTTTCCATGATGCAGAGATCTAATTGTTCATGCAACAAGATATGGTTAACCATAAACATCATGAAATTCATCTCCCAAAACACAAAGATTTTACGGATAACATTATTTATTGATATCCAATTACTATGTATGTCTAGTACATAATTCATATCATATCAGTATGCATAAACTTCAACAACTATTGGGACCACTACATTAATGGACAGCTCCAACTATCGGGCAGTATTATAACAGATGGAAGCCCATTAAGAACAAGAATTAAGATAAATTATGTATCATTTCATAAAGGAAACAGTTTATATAGAGCTGAGGCTCTAAACAATCAAATTGGAGCCCACCTCAAAAATTTCACTAGAAGAGGTTGTTTTGATGCCCAAATACCCTCAAACTAGTCATCTCGACATCAAGATGCATGGACATGAGAAAAAAAAACAATTTCAAGTTTTGGAAATAGTGCATCTTGACCGTCAATTTTCAAGATTTTCAAGTTTTCATAGATCTGCTTGATCTACACTATTTTTGAAGCTTTAAATTTTCTAATTAAAGATGAAAATATACTTTAAGACTATCACAAAGATTTCCAGCATTCAAACATTATTTCTTGACACTATTTGAAGGTGGGCTCTAATTTGATTGTTTAGAGTCATGGCTCTATATAAACCGCACCATCTCGTAAATTATGCATTATTTCATATGGTTAGTACAAAATCACAAACATATTGGAAATCTACAAATCCAAAGCACAACGAAAATGAAGGCAACTATACCGCTTGTCTGAATGCTATGCACACATCCCTTGCCATTTGTTTCTCAGCTGGAGTTAACAATACAGGATATCTCACCTTCATAAAAAAAGGCAAGAAAATCCAAGAAACAAGTTAACATTATGTGCTAAATGAATCCTAGATGTGTATTGTGCCACTCTCGAGAAGAAAACCACATAAACATAACTGCAGCTAGGAAAAAAAGCAATAAAATAAATTCAAGCATGCATGCAATATAAGAGAGGAGAATCAATAAACACCCTGTCTCCAAGTATTATTTGTGAAAAATGGTAACAAAGCACAGATAAGTATAAAGAGCCTATTATATTTGAATCGATAATATAGTTCACTTGGTCATGCAATACTTGAAAAAATGTGTTTCTAGAGCAACACATAAGAAATAATTGAATATTTTTAATTCTGCCAACATTTTTTGTTAGGCTTTTTGAATCGCCTTAAAATCCTTGCCAAAGTCAAACAGAATGACAACATTAGTAAAACATACAATAGCACACCACATTCATGAGCTACTCTAGGGTAACCTACTTGCCAAAGGAAGTCCATTCAGGACTACAGGCGCCCATGCAAGATGGGGCATACCCTCCTCAACAAACACTGCTCGAATATCAATATTTCAAAGTACATTGAACAAGGGAAGAATATCAAATTCATGAAAGGCATCCTAAAATCAAGTGATGCTGACTTGAAATTGAATAACAAAGTTTGCAAACCTAAAGAACTCAATAACCTATTACCTCTTTGCCATCAGGATTTCGCATAACAACTCCGTCGACAACTGGGGACTTTCTTGCCTCAGCATGTGCATATTCTGGACCAACAGTGTAAACCTAGAAAAATAAAACGAGAGAGAGAGAGAGAGAGAGGGGTCTTGTGATCAGATGAGAAAACCAGTCTTAATATAAGGATCCATATGCATGAGCACCTGATCATATATACTTGTATGTCTGTAATATAGGGTTTACAAAAACCTCAAAAAAATAATAAGTACTTCCCACTCCAATCTCTAAAATCAATTATTCATACATGTCAAACAACTAGAAATAAGCAAGTTGTTCACGCTGTAAATCCAATGCAATAATAGAATGTTGAAAAAGAATTTGAACCCGAGAAGGTACCTTCCCTCACAAATCTAAAACTCCCGCTAATCCCACAAATATCCCAAAACAAGTCATCCCTTACAATCATATAATATCTCAAACAACAACCACCTACCATTAACCCAATCATCACAAGGATTTACATGCTTAACTGATAAATCAACTTTGCATTTCAACTTGATCAGAATAGTAAGAAATGCACTATCGGGACATTTAGATTAGAAAGAAAAAAAAATACAATTATCAGATTAGATAGAGGAAGAAAGAATACGATTATCAAACTAAAACAAAGAGGACGATAAAAGAAAGCACTCATTGTAATCTTGAAGAAAATCAAACAGTTAGAAACACAATGGTTGCATGAAATGTTGAGGACATGTAAATACATATATACTTCATAACATAAAAGCCACCATCTATGGGAAATCCAATATTATCCGGTGTTAAAATATATTTAACTGGAAGGATAAAAAAAAATTAATTCAATTTCATCACTTTGGGGACAATTTCAGTTCACCTATTTGATCTTATTACAAGACCAAACCAGTCCCAGGTGAATCTTTCAAGCATCTACTATGGGAAGGCATCAAAAGTCATATCAAGGTTAAAATTCTTTCAAAAAGCAACCATTTAGATCATTGTTTTATATTTTTAAGATATTCATAACCTCTAAAATAGACTAATAAAGAAACTCCTACATATCATAGACAATTCAGATATTTGATCTAATTACAAGACCAAACCAGTCCCGGGTGAATCTTTCAAGCATCTATTATGGGAAGGCACCAAAAGTCATACCAAGGTTAAAAATCTTTCAAAACGCAACCATTTAGATCATTGTTTTATATTTCTATGACCTTCATAACCTCCAAAATATACTAATAACCCCTACATATCATAAACAATCTTAAACCCCCCATAGAAACTCATAAACAGACTTAAATTGAATGCTTAGTCCGCTATTGATTCCATAAGGATGATATATTTTTTTGGATTTTATAACTTCCCTACGCACTCCATATGCATTTGAAATTGGTTATAGATATGACAAATACCTTAATGACACTGACACCTCCAATCACACCTTGACAATCATGAAACTATAGCAAACACATCACTCCACCCCTAGATGCAGTCAAACATATCCCAAATCAGAAAACAAAGTTGTGCACTGATTTCTAACCAATTTGACAATGCTGAAAAACATAGTACCTTGCAACAACATGTGTACACCCAAAACTAAAAACGATTTGGCCTACGTGTTGCAGAAATGCAAATTTGGAACTATTAACATCTATCTACTTTAGTCAGTGTAACTTATTAATTAGTTTGAGGGTAGTTTTGTAACATTACTGTACAATGCTATCCACATACTTTGAACAAGCCAGCCATCTCAGGATTAATCCCTAATCTCAACAATGAGAAATTTGCCCAAGTTTCACTGATTTTAAACTTAACATGTTGAAATCTGTAGCAAAAGCACAAAACAAAGTCAATGTTGTGGCCTTTAAAGGCCATGAGAGCATGTAAAAGACATTATAGTGGATTATACATTTCAATGGAAGTGTGTATTATTTGACTGACAGAGAGTTAAGAGGTCTATGGCCCTAGTCATGTCCAAAACCCTTACCCCTAGGCATGTGGCACTACCAAAAAGGGTACAGAAGGTCATCCCTTGTTGAGGTCAGAGAGATGTCCACAAGTAGTTGGTCAGCTAGGAGAGTTGTGTAGTCTCCTATGTTTGGATGTAGGCCTTTGAGGGCTAAATCTTTAAAGAACCTCCACACAGCATGTACATGTGCATAGGGAAGCAACCCTAAAAAGAGATATGTGTAAATGTGCATAGAGAGAGTCCCCCTTTGCACTGTATTGACATGTGTATAGGTTGCTCTTAAATATGGGAACCCCAATCCACATTTCAGGGTCGTGGTTCCTCTATTTATTGGTCAGCTTTAACAAGCCAACCATGAGCCCCTGCATGAGACTGTGGGTCATGGGTTTTGTTGAGTCGATTGAGAAGACAATTGTTGATCACTGTTAATAGGTCGGGTAGAGTATTCTTATAGTCACTTATTCTGATCCATTGGTACCAGTCCACTTCTGGATGTTTTATTTTTAAATATTTATGTGAATTTAAAAAAAAAAATCAGAATTCTTAAAAATTATTTCTGCTGTAAATTACTTTAAAAAGGGCAATTCTAAAGATATGGAAAAGTGTAGGGGCACATGTGGGGCCTTGGATCCACCCCCATATATGTGCCACACCCCATGGGTAGGGCTAGGGCCCATGAAGCCCAACATGTCAACCATAGGGGTGTCATGCCCCTCCCCTCCTTTAATTAAATGTTTTAATTTAATATGTGTTTTTAAGATTATTTAGTTCGATAATCTTTTAAAACAAAAGATTAGGTGTGCATATTTTTGTGGGAGTTAGTTTTGACCAAAAATATATTATTTTGACTTCCTATAATTTTAAAGAACAAGTGTTACAACATTCCCATATAATCATTTAAAACCCTAAAGCTTTTGCAATTCCATTGAGACAACTAATGGTGGTTTTTGGAGCTGAATCAAAGAAGTTTCAAGTGTGCCTAGGGTTCTAATAGATGCTTTGATTTCTCTCAAATCTGCTATTACAGATTTTTTTTTCAAGTGTGATAGTATATCATAGGTGTTGACTTTCAATTAGTGGAGTTTATAAAAATGGTTATAGTCATTACACAATGCATCATATATAATGCCATCTGATGTAAAATGGGACACCTTGTGTGCTGCATTATTTTCACTATTTTCGTCGATTTTCCCCTTAATTTCTTAACATATGTTAAGAATTTAGGAGAATTGTGGAGAAATTGCCCCACTTTTTCCATATAAGATACGTTCCCTTGTTTATCTCATAGACAAGCTCACACTCAATCTAGGACTTACCAAATGATCAACCTCAATGCATTTAGCACCACGTACATGCTACAACTTGAATAGTAGCTCGATTGAAATTAAAGTTCAAAGACATTATGGATTATGCCATCCTTGCCTACCATCTTAATGATAATTATCAGTGTGTAGAAAAAGGACACCTTATGTTTCACACATCTTAAATCATCATTCTAACTTCTTATACCAATTTCTAAACTATGAAGAAAACCATCAATCCAAAACATTGAGGCTCTTTTCTTACTCCCGCTTTCCCTATCTTATCCAACAGGCTATCCTATGACACAAGTAAAAAATAAAACATATGTTAATATGACGTTTATATGATCTAATCCATCAATCAATATTTTAAACATGCTACTTTATACAAACAACGACTACCACAAAACATTACTCTCATGAAGCGTAAGTGTACTTTAAAAGCACAATGTGACTATCGTCCAAACTCAGCTTTCAGAAATAGGACTTCCTGCTTAATAATAACAGCTTAGGATGTATCGTTATGAGAAATGCATAAAACACTAGAATGTTGACAAATATAAAAGCAACAGGATGACTAGTTTATGAAGTCCACTAGTTGAACAACCTTTACATCGGTCCCCCCAGTAGGCAAAAATTCTTCGTATATATAAGAACCTTCACGTCTCACTCTTCTAACTTCTGGATGAAACTCGCTTGACCGGTTACCCACCTGTAATGCCACAATGCAAACAGAAATTGATACATGATGATGCAATTTCCTTGACATTTATGAAAGAAATCACTAACTAACGTGGATAAAATTACACAATAACAAATATTAGTCTGCTTATGGTAGAGAGATCGAAATGATAGAAAATTATTTCTAGAACCAATGTCACCAATAAACAACATCTTGCCAACCTTGCAATATTTCCCAAGAAGTCTTACAACTCCCTAAAAGCTCTGTAGACCACTGTAAACCCGACGTTTTGTCATACTCAAATGTTGCATGCCATGCCTTAGCAATCACAATGACTTACAGGGGTTGAAAATTTGCATCCAAAGTAACAAAAACATCAGGTTATTGATCAAGAAGATCAAGCATCTAGAAATATTTCCCAGAACCATTCCTTGTGCTCTGAGGACACAAATTTATCATCAATGTCACATCTAGACTTCACTTGGCTTGTGTGTGGTTGTCAGACACTTAAGAAACTTGCGGATAATCTATCTAATTTTCATGCAATCATCTACAATACTACAGCAATTTATACAACTACTTTAAAATTTGACGTATCAAAGAATATGTTTAATTTTCATTCAATCATCTACAATACTACAGCAAATTTATACAACTACTTTAAAATTTGACATATCAAAGAATTTATACCTTGATTAGGAGGTCCGAGTTAGTTCAAGTGGAAGGACTTAAAGGGGCAAGGGGTAGGCCCAAAAAGACGTGGTTAGAAATAGTTCGAAAAGATATGGGGGCCTATGGCCTCACTGAGGGTATGGCCTTTAATAGAGTAGAATGGTGGACCAGGATTCGTGTAGCCAACTCCAATTAATTGGGAAAAAGGCTATGATGATGATGATATTTAAAAATATGTTCCGTAAAATAAAGAGATATTATGCATCGGGATAAACTGCATATAAGCATATATACAATACTTTATGAAACAATAAAACATAAATTTATACGAAAAGACTTTGCAAAATTAATACTTTTACAATCAATTAATATGCTTAGTATAGTTTCAATAATGATATTGCAAAGACATTAGGAAAGGACCAGGCGTGGGTGATCAAAGTAGTGGAAGCCACAACTTGATGTCAAGGGTTCCATTCCTACCTCTACTATATGCATTAACATGTCAAAAGAAATTGCATAGATATATATCTTTTTATATTGCTGCTTGAATGGAGATGTCACCATGTCAGCAAGTTTTTTGGCTGCGATGTTAGACACCCAAGAAACATGTCAGAAATTGGCACAAGCAATTTGTCCAAGTGACCGCTGTTATCATACTACTAACAAGGCAGTAGGGCTGGTACTGGGCAGTCGATCTGCCCTGGCCCAATCGGCCCGGACCTAAAAACTAAGTACCGGGCCACAAAATGCGGCCCAAGAGATGGAACAGTCCAGGCCTAGCTTGGGCCAAGGGCCGCAAAGGGCCCAGTCCATGCCAACCACCCCATATATTCCTATTTCTTTCATTTTTTTGATTCTTTGAGTCTATTAGCCCCACTCTGGTCTGGCCCAGTAGTCTATTAGGCCCGGCCCAGCCTGGCCTGGCTCAGACTGGACAAGGGCCAAGCCAAGACTGGGCCAAGGCCCCCACAGCCTATTCTGAACCAGGCCCAGGAACGGCCAGGCCTAAGGGGCCGGGCAGGGCCAAACTCAGGCTTGCCGGCCCGTTGCCAGCCCTAAAGGCAGTGAATAGCTGCCTAACAAACAGTCATAATATGAGTGCAGAGTCAACATATATTTTTCTGTTACAATTGATAACTTCATTTTATCCATTAAATGAGAGAAAAATAGCATTTCTTAAATAACATGACCCTAGCTTAGTCTGGTAGCTGCAAACATTAACAGATCTGGGTTTTGAGTCATGACTAGGACAAAGCAGGCTTCATTGAGAGGCCTGTTATGTCATTCAGTTCCCAAGTTTCACATTAACAGTAATGATATATTAACCAACAGTTCTTTCAACATGCACAGATACGTGCCCAAATAGCATGCGATTTTATATTGCTAACCATTTCAAAGATAAATTTTACATGATTGTAAGAATAAGGTGTTGTGGCCCTTACCTTGCGAAACAACTCTTTCATTCCCCCACCTGCCGAGTTTGGATAGTATATCATTATACTGTGATCATCCCCTTTAAGAAGGAAAAAAAGAAGTCAAGTTACAAATCAAAAATACTGATAACATAAATGCATATTATTTTCTAGCTTTCTACATGCAGAGACAGAAAAGAAATTTTTTTTCAAACACTGATAATCCAATTCAGCATTTACCAACATCAGTCACTGCCTGAAAATGTCTTAAAATGTGTGTTTGCCTACATAAGAATATCTAAACCCTTACATAAGAATATCTTGCTTGCATAAGAATATATATATCCCTCTCACTCTGTGTACGCATGTATAAGTATGTTGAACAAATGCGACAACGTTGGATAGAATCAGCTGGCCAAAACACCAAAATACAACAGGAATCAGACCCACTCAGACTAACATAGTAAAGCAATGAACTTAAACTATAGCAGACCAAATGCAGGGTCAGCCAAAGAACTCAAATGAACATCAATCGCCAAATAGCAAGCGATGCAGCAACCACTTCTGTCTTAGACATGACAACTGGGAAACTCACAACCTTTATCTTCGAACCTCTTCTGCTCAAATTCATGGAGAATGTTAACACCAGTAACACTCCATTAACAATGCCACTGCACGATCTGCCTAATCATATCAATGTGTCACCCCTCCCTGAATGTTGATAAATGAGAAGCTAGTTTTGGCTGAAATTCCCAATGGTTCACACTAAATTAGCCAAGAACACATGTAGAATGCAGGTGACAAATTCACCATGTGCAACTTAGATTACGAATTCAGGTATCCCAAACAAATTCTCCATATAATCATCTAGAATACGATATTGGGATAAGTCTTTTCTCTCGTCTTGAGAGTGTGTCTGTGTGTGTTTGCGTGCATCCCATTGGTCCTAAGAATATCAAGCCCATATTTACATGCATCTACAGATTGAGACTATAAATTCAGCTACAGTACAACAGCAACGAACTAAAGTACAACAGCAACCCCCATCCAATATGTCGATAACCTCCACGCAAATGAATTCACAACAATGACCAAAGTATCTAGCCCTGCTGCCCTTGACTCTAAATCAGTATCCAGTAACACCAAGAATCATAGACAGCTAATCAAAATGTATGCCAACCTTCCACTTCATCAATCAAGGTTTTATGGCTATATGCAATCAAAAGAGAAGATCATCAAGTAGTACTCCTGTATGAGCTATACACAACAGACAGAGACTTAGCAAACCAGAAAACACATTGCCTAAGAAAGTAAAATGGTTTGGGATATTGATAATCATCAAATTAAAATAAATAAACCATATTTAATACAACAAATCTGAGCTAATAGAAAAGCGCTACAGCATTACAATCAATAAAAAGTTAATCTCAGTGAACTACAATATCACCAAAATGATAATGGAAGCACAGTACATACAGGTTGCCAGATACTCACCATCAATAGGTTTCTCCACAAAAGGTTTCCAGAAACGCTTCCCATGGACCTCAACAAAATCTTCTTGCTCAGTAAAATAATGAAGCTCTTGATAAGGGACTTCCCTGTTCACTAAAGCATAATTTGGAACAGGAATTCCATACATTTCCAGGCGCTAATTTCAAGGAAAAATATATCAGGATGCAGCAGTGTTATCTAAATTTCTCACAAAAGCAACTATATCCAAAGAGAATATACTTCACATGAATGAGCTATCACAGTAGAAGTGTTTATCATAAAGAAAATGAATCCAAAGTCCTTAGGCAAACAGAATATTTGTAGTAATGGCTGAGTGTGTGTCACTTTGCAAACATTTTGCTAGTAAAAATAAAACAGAGAAAGCAGTTAGTAATTTCTTTATAAATGATAAGTTAGCAAACATAAAATCAGGAGAGAGAGAGAGAGAGAGAGAGAGAGAAAAAGCACAAGTACCTATTACACAAGGTAAAGATCTCAGAACAGCATAAAATCCCCCAACCCAGCGAATTAAACCCAATTAGATAGACTGCCCCCGAGGAAATCAGTTTAAAAGGTATGAGACAAAGATAATAACACCTTTGTCTCTACAAAATCCCCCTTAAGCCGAAGCCATTTTCAATGACTCAAGACCAATGGCAACTCAAGCATAACAAACACAGGTTTGGTGTAACTCCCTGCAAAAATATATATTCCAAAACAGCAATGCTGATCTTCAGCTAAATCAAGAAATCCAGACCAAAAGGGTGAGTGTTAACATTTGATGATCTCACCATCTCCACAAAAAGCCTTTTTTTTTTGGGTAAGTCAGTGGGGAAGAAGGCCCCCTACCCGTTTTCCATTAATAAAAAACCAAAGGAAAAACAATTAAGGTACAACCCTATGAACGGGCACTTGCGCCAGATCATGTAATAAAAGAGAAGAAAGAAATCATGGTGGTCTATGGCACCACACACTGGCACTGAGGCTAGCAGCTGCCCTCTTAGCAAGGCCATCAGCAACCATATTAGCCTTACGAAAGACATGTGTGATGGACGATCGATGAGAAGACAGTCTGGTGCAACAATTATCAACAATCGTCTTTAGCCTCAATGGAGCATTACATCAATTCTGAATGACATTCACAAGCAAAGCCGAGTCACTTTCAATCTGAATTGGAAAGCAATTACTTTGAATAACCAATTGAACTCCTACCTCAAAAGCCAAAAATTCTACATGGTTATTGGAAGCAAGACCAAAGTGCTTTGCAAAAGCAGCAATAAAACCACCCTCACTGTTCCTGATAACTCCACCACCACCTGCTAAGCCTGGATTTCTCAAGATAGCACCATCAATATTCAGTTTGTAATTGTGAATCTCAAGAAAAGACCACGCTACCGAGGTAAAGGTCGCAGCTTTATGCTGCTGCCAAGTTATCCGACAGTTACCAATGATTGCCTTTTCTGATAAATGAAAAGACCATTTCTTAACTTCTGCTAGTGCCTAAACATGCATGGTAATCCTTTTAACAATAAGCTCTCTCCTGGTGGGTCTTAACCAAAAACTCTTCTATTGCGCTCTTCCCATAGAAACCAAATAGTAGTAAAAAAGATGGAAGACCAAATATTACGAAGTCCATGTGATTTAAATCTGAAGAGTAACCACCACCTGAGTAGATCAGGGACTGAGGTACCAAGGACAAACCATTTTCTACATCTCCAAGCGAGTGATCTCCACACATCCTGTGCAAAGGCACATTGAAATAACAGATGAAAAAATTGTCATCATGGCTACTACAAAAGGGACATAAAGAGTCCAATTGCATGCCTCGCTGTTGTAATAAGAATGAAGTGGGTAATCGATTATGCAAGGTCAGCCATGAAAACTACAGAAAATAGGTGTGAAGAAAATAGGCTGTGAAGAACCAAAGTGCACAGAAAATAGGCTGTGAAGAACCTTGATGCCTAATAAAATCCCATGCCCTTTTAACAGAAAAAGATCCATCAGCAAAATGAATCCAAACCAGTGAATCCTTCTTGGGATGTAGAGGGAGAGTATAATTTTAAACCTCTCTCCAAATATTCCTCAAAGAATTAGATGTGGGATGCGGCAGAACCCAACATTGAGGAGCTCCACTAATAAAATCTGAAACCCTCCTTCCTACTGTCGCCCCCAAAGCTTCATGAATGTCTGCTTTGTGGATAAGAGGCTAACCTGCTAACCATGGGTTCATCCAGAAATCCACCAACTGACCATTACCGATATTCCACAGCACATTGCCTCTCAAATGAAATCCCTTACCACAAGACCTCCTTCAGCCATAGGGAGGCACACTGTTTTCCATTTTATCAAATGAACACCTTTTTTTCTGCTTCACCGGCCCATAAGAAGTTTTTATGTAGTCTCTCTATCATATTACATGTTTTTTTCGGAAGAATGAAGGATAAAAGCCAGAAAACCGATGAAGCCCCTAGAACAAACTTAAGCAGCTGAAGTCAACCGGCATATGAGAGGCATAAAGGCTGCCAAGACCCGATCTTACCAAACACCTTACCCACCAAATTATGGCAATAACTGTGCTTCAGATGCCACGAAATAATGGTAGGCCCAAATAGCGGACCAAAAGAAACCCTTCAACAAACTTTAACTCCCTTAGAATTCTCCCCCGTCCTCCCCGTGGTGCCGCGAAGAAAAAGACCTTGCTTTTAAAAGACTTCAAAATCTGACCAATACTCCTTTCAAAGTTTTGAATAAGTACACACATAGCTGTGGCAGTAGAGATGGAAGCCTCACAGAAAACAAGCACATCATCAGCATAAAAGAGATATGAAACCCCATAGTCACACCCTGAAGGGAACGCCCTATGAACCATTCCTTGCAAAAAAGTATAATTCAGCTGACGGCTAAAAAGATCCATGACCAGCAAAAAAAGATAAGGAGATAGAGGATCCCCTTGCCTCAAACCTCGCTTACCTTTAAAAAAACCTTTGGGTGAGCCATTCCTTAGAAAAGAGAAAGAAGTAGTGGGAATACATAAGTGAACCCAGGAAATAAATAGCTCAAGAAACCCAAAGCATGCATCCTACCCTCTGTTAAATCCCAAGAAACGTTATCATAGGCACTGCTCAAATCGATTTGCAGACACATTTTAGGACGATCTGGGGAAAGAGACATAAGTTCGTTTGCCATGAGAATATTATCAATAATAAGCCTACCTTTCAAAAAAGCAGCCTGCCTAGGGTCAATAAAATCAGCAAGAACAACTCGTATGCAATTAGAGATTATTTTACTGCTGATTTTGTATAAAACATTACACAACCCTATAGGTCGGAAATCTTTCATCACCCTAGGAGCATCTACTTTAGGAATCAGACAAATAAAGGTGGAATTGATATGCTTGAGCAGCTTACCCTTAGTGAAAAAATCTTTAAGCGCCAGAAAAAGATCATTTTTAATGACTGCCCATCCAAACTTGTAGAATTCAACTTAAAAGTCATCTGGCCCTGGCGGACTTTCATTTTTCATATCCCAAATACATGCTTTAATTTCCTCCATAGATACTGCGTCCACTAATTTGTCCTTCTGAGAAGAATTGAGATGGAAAGGCGGCAAGACCTGGTCAACCATGTGAATGTCAACATTGCTTTCCTGAGCCAGTAAGTCTTTGAAATAGCCAATCATATGATTTTCAATATCATCCTCAGTAGAGAAGAGATTTCCATTCTGATCTTTCAAAGAGATAATTCTATCAGACCTCCTTCTGACCACGGTATTGGAGTCCCCCTCTCTTAACCAATTTTGTCTTGATTTTTGCCTCCAGAAGCTTTCTTCATTGGCCAGAAGAGTTTCCAATTTCTGTGTATACTCCTTTTCTTGAGACAAGAGAGTCTCATTAGAAGGATCCATGTGTAGACTATCATGCAAAGATGATAGTTGGCGACGAAGTATAGCAATGGATTCACCAACAAAGCCAAACACCTCCTTATTCCATAGCTGTAAGTCAGCCTTGAGTGAGCCTCTTAAGTTTAGCCACAAAAAGGTACATGGGAGTACCCCCCACTTGGCCTCACCACGAATTACAGATAACATCTAAAAACCTTGATGCTGCTCCCACATAGAAAATTACTTAAAAGGTTTGGCCCCAACTGGACCAGATCAGAAGTAGAAATGAGTAAGGGACAGTGATCTAAGGTACCTTTAAGGAGTACCTGGACTTTGGAGTCAGAGAAGGCCAAAATCCAATCAGTAGTAGCTAAAGCTCGGTCCAACCTTCTTTGAATGCATCTTCTGCTCAACTGGTTATTAGACCAGGAGAATCATCCTCTGACTAAACCAAGATCAACAAGAGCATAATCCGTCATTACTTGGGCAAAATCGCCTGAGTCTGAAGGTAGAGAACTGCTCCCCCCCAACTGATTCCGAGGGATCCAATAGCATATTAAAATCCCCCAGTACCAGCCAGGGAAGAGCAATAGTTGCTCCTAAGGCCCTCATATGATCCCATAGCAAGGCCCTTTGGGATACATAATTAGAGGCATACCCTCCTGAAATCACTAAAATATTACCATTACACATACGGGTCGCCTCCACAGTAACCATTTGATCATTGACATCAATCAGTTTGATTGAGTAAATTAGAGGGATCCAAAGGACTAAAATTCTGGATCACTACTCAATCTCATTAGCAATAAAGTTATTATAGAAACCCAACTTTTTAGACCAAATATGGCTCAGTTCCACTGGAAGTTTAGTTTTCAATAAGAAAATAAGACCAAGATTATGTTGACCTTTTAAAACCCCAATATCCGATATTCTGCCCGGGCCCTGAAGGCCCCTAACATTCCAAGCAGCAATAGACATAAATAAAATCAAAGGTTTGGATGTTTGGTAAGTGGACCCTTACTTTCAGGAGCTGTATGAGAACGCTGAGCCTTATGGGGTAACCCCATCTTGTCACCAATAGAAGTTGGAATAAGTCCTTTTATATTACCTGTACCTGATGAAGAATGACCCCTCTTATCACCAGAAGCTACCAAAGAAGCTTTTACTTGCGACCTAGTTCGAGCTTGAGGAAGCTTCTCACTATTCGCATGATTCTGCACTCGCTTACTAGAAACATCCACCTTATCGGCTATGAACATGGGGTTATGACTATCAACAATATTCCCCATGCAACAATATTCCCCATGCCATCCTCTCGTGTGCCCCCCTGTGGCCCAATCACATGAGCAGGGGTTTTCGGATCCTTAACAAGTGATCCAACAGGCCGTCTACATCATACTCCTCCCCATCATTCACGACGATGGCAGTGACGTTAACCTGCTTAGGACTGTGCTCACATATCTTCTTAGAGGCCTGTTGGTCTAGAGACAATATCGAGGAGTCGCCATCCTCAACAGGTATCGCTCCAATCACTGGCGATAAAGCTGCGACCTCTTCTGACACACCACCAGTATTAACAACATGAGTCATAGTTGTCATCTCATACTCCTATTGCGTATCCGAATCACCCAACAGAATGCAAATGTCAACTGAATTTGGCTCAGAAGAGCTAACTGCCTGCTAAATAAGAGACATTGGCTAGAATTTCATGGACATTGGCTAGAATTTCAAAGCATTAGAAATGATATCCTTCGAATCCACTCTATTGTTAACACGAAAGACAACAGCATTATTCTTCTCTGACAAAAAGGGAAGGGTTGAAGCAGCCACAGTGCTTTCCTTCCCCTTCTGTTTGTAAACCAGCTGCTATCTCCCTTTGACTACCTTCCAACCTTCTTCCCTTGAGGGTAATTTAACAGAAGAATCACCACTGGGAAGCCTTTGCACTTAAGCCTGCTCGACATAATTCGGGCTTGTGGTCCCCCCCTTCGACAGGTGGAACAATCGAGGGTATGAACTCATAGACTATCTCTTGCCTATACTCCTTCCCAAAAAAATCCAGCCAAACCTCAGTCGAACAAATGGTATCTAGATCAAATGCAACACACACCCTTGGCTCAGCCCTTGATCTATGTTTTGTCGGTTTGTCCATGAAGATGGGTTTTCCATACACACATAACCCTTTTCTAGTCTCAGCAAACTGTCAAGAAATGGAAAATTATAAGTTGTTCAAGGAACACATCTTTCAGCATATCCAAGGATAATGTCTCATGTTAACCTAAGATTGAGAAAAAAAAAAACAGCAAGAGACAAAAAAAATAAATCTATTTCAACATCTTAAGTAATTTAATGGGAAAATGTACATGATCCAATAGGACCAACAAATAACTTGTGCCCCTTGTTCAAAAAAGTGGACCGACCAGCACCTAGGCGGTCCAAAAGGCCTAGCGCATCGCCCAGGCCTATGCAGCCAACCTAGGCAGCAGTCCCTGGCAGTACGGAGCCCGCCTAGGGGCGAAAATGTATTTCAACATCTTATGTAATTTAATGGGAAAATGTACATGATCTAATAGGACCAACAAATAACTTGTGCCCATTGTTCAAAATAGTGGAACGCTCAGTGCCTAGGTGGTCCAAAAGGCCAGGCACATCGCCCAAGCCTAGGCGGCCAAACTAGGCAGCAGTCCCTGGGCGGGCACCCAACACCCAGCCTAGGGCTGCTGCCCAAGGCCAGCGCCCCTCCTAGGGGCGAAATGAGTTTTTTTTTTTTTGTTCTATTGAGTTTTTTTGAATCATAAAGGCTTTTAAGGATGGGTTTTAGGTTCATTTAAAACCTAAACCCACAAGAACCCATTTTAGAAAGAAACAAACCTCACAAGAACCCATTTTAGAGAGAAACAAATCTCAAAAAAACTAAATTTTGTGATTTTCATTGAATCGAAGTGTTTCTCAAAGTTATGGAAAATGGATACAAGCATCACTCAAGTAGATTAGATTTAGTTTTGGAGTTTTTTAATCCTATTAGAGGGTGTTTTTTATTATTTTAGCACCAAAAAACATCTCAGAGGTGGAAGTTCGGAGTTCGAGCAATCAAAGTGCAAAACTTTATTTTTTAGATTGCTTGTTTTATTTTGAGATGTCTTCTTAAGGATGTAGTCGAAGTGGAGATCCGGGTTGAAAATATGAATATAACCCAAATCCAAATGACAAAAATTGATTTATAGATGCAATTATTGCGAAAAAATTCAAAATGGGGCAAAAACCGATTTAAGAAACATCTTGCCAGTATTGAGGGTAGAGCTGCCAAGACTCCTAGGGCCTTATTTGCACATACTAATAAGAAGGAGGTAGAAAAAGAGGAGGAGAAAGATGCAGATTCAAAAGAAACAGAGGAGGATGAGCATTATATTGAAGAGGGAGATGACTCTGATGATGATGGTCTCGAATCTAATGCATATGATGAGACTTAACCTATTCCTTCTGATGATGATGATGACTAAAGAATGAAGAGTTGAAGATGCTCGAGTGCTTGACTCTTGGTGTTGAGTGTTGATTATTGATTGTTCACTGTTGAGTGTTGACTATTGTGTCCTAGACTGTATATTTTCTGAATTTCTGTAGATTTTTTTTTATTATTTTTAGTTTCTACTATCTAACTTTTGTACGTACAGTCTACAGTGTATCAGACTATCAATGTATGCTTGAATGGTTTTACTGTTTTAGCATTGTATAAAAATATGGATTATGGTCTTATGGATTATCAAAATTCTCTTCTCGAATTTTATCTTTCTTTTTTCTTCAACTGGGCCACCCAGGTTCTGGGTGCCTGGTAGGCGCTGGGCGGCCTGGATCCCCACAGCCGCCTAAGTGCCGCCTAGCGCTTTTTGAAACACTGCTTGTGCCTGATCTAGAAGTAAGCAACGTAAGGAAAGGCATTAAAATCAGGAAGAATGATACCTCATATACCTTCCTTCTGTCATGCAGAAGGTACTGCTGCTCCAATTCATTTACTAGAAAGGGCCTAAATGAAACAAAGTGAGAGAAGAAAACAGAAATGAAGATCAGTGGCTTAGCACCAAACATATTCATAGAGAAGCTATTAAGACAGTACTATTAAAAAGTACATTTAAAAGAAAAAAAAGAACCTGGAAAATAAACCATGATCTCAACATATTTTCCCTACAAACAAAATAATATTGTTTAACGACCATATGATGGCAAATGGCAACCTACCAATCAACAACCAAAGCAGTTCCTCCTAAAAGTAATGGAATATACTAAAACAGACTCGCAAGTTTTTGTTTTTCATTGGTTCTTCGTCAAGGATTTAGTTAAAGAAATGTAAGTTGTGTGTACTGATATATGAGCATGTCTAAGTGATATGGCCTTCTCTTAAGCATCACAGACAAATCATCTCAAGTTTAAGCCCATTCAACCACAAAATCATATCATTTAAGAGCTGCAAGTGAAAAATAGGAAACATGCTATGCTAATAAAGTAATCCATGTTTCCTATGCTAATAAAGTAATCCACTCCTATCCAGCAAACTCAAACATTTGAAAGCTATACAACCATCCTAGAGGGGCTAATGCCCTACATACAATAATGACCTGTTCCAACTGGATTAAAGCTTACCACGTAATTGTCCTCCAGGTGTAAGAGATGTTGATTGAGTCTCATATGTGTAAAAATGTCTTCCAAGGTTTGCAAGTGTGCCAAGTGCAAGTGGTACTATAGGCAGCACGAGTGCTGTGAATCTAAATGAGGCCAAAGAGAATATTTTTGGAAAAAAGCAATATTACAGAAGCTGGAAAGTCCTTTGGGCTTATGATCAAAAGTATAGGGTCCCTAAGGATCAGATGAAAGATTTACTGAAAGGCATGGACTGTGGGATGCCGACTTTAATGTCTTATGCTATTCACACCAAAACAGTAGAGGGAGTAGCAAAACTGCTAGACTCCGTTGTTTTCTAAAGTATGTTGAATTATTCAACCAACCTCCCAATACATGGCTGTCAAACAATGACAAGGATGAGATCCTTACCAAAAAATAAAGGAAAACTAATTAGTGAGGTGGGGACCTCAGCCAAAATAGTGTGGTATTACCTCATTTCTGCATATTTTGGACGATCGAGGTCCCAAAAATTCTGAAAATCCACACTCTAGACCCCTAAGTAGGGGGCTTCTGGTGTTTTCTAAAACCTTGTTAAATACATTATCAAAAGAAAGTATCTATAAATATGGTCATAATAAAAGGATGGAACGCAAGGCTTCTCTGATCAAGCAGCACATCACTTCTTATCTATGGTATAAAAAATAAGCCAACATAATTGTTAGCAATATATTCCTGCATTTACTTCGTGCAAGTGTAATGTACCAGAACAACTTCTAAATCCCCACAAAAGCATATTAATTGGGTATCACGGAACCAGGCAGAGTTTCAAACTATAGATGTGGCTCAAGGCTCTTGCATAGTCCTAATTGAAGCCGACTCGGTGATGCTTGGGCCGAGCCTCAAAACACAAACATGTCACATATAAACTACAATACAAATTATAAGACCGATGTAGGGAAACCTGATGAACAACAAAAATTACAAGATTCTCAAGCCTAACACTAGCAATAACTAGGAGAAACCTAGGGTTTCCTCCTCACCCCAAGCTAGAGTTCCAAAAGTGTAAGCTTTCCTTTTCTTTTTCCATTCTAAAAATCATGTGAAATGACCCCCTCAACGCCCTACTACCTCTTATATATTACAATTTAATATTCATATATTACAATTTAATTTTTTTTTTCATAAAGATTATAATTTAATACTCAAAGACATTAAATGTTCATACATTAAATGACCCCAAAAAATCTAACTTAAGCCCACATTTTTACCCCTATGAATAGTAACTCGTGAGCAGTAACTGTGAATAGTACTTGTGAACGGTAAACAAAAAATTATAAAAAAGCCCTAGAATCCTTAAAAACCCTAAAGCGAAATTAAAATATACATCTTTTAAAATTGAATAAAAATTAAAAATAAGAATAATTTCCCTTCATCATTCTCCCTTGGTTGGAGAAAAACTTATCCTCAAGTTTTGAAGTGTGCTAAGATGAAATTTGCATTAGTCTTGTAATCTTCTTCACCGGAATACTAAAATCATGATCCTAGGATTTGGGAGTTATTGAACTAATCAAAACACGATGGTTCTGCATTGAAAATTAGTCTTTGCAATCAGTTGATATATTCATAAACACTTTTGAGAAACCCTAGAGAAAATCATTATATGTCGATGGAATAGCCATGATATGTACACTTGGTTCATTTACATTAACTAGCTGAAATTGCCTCAACACAACCATTAAACCCTACTGAATCGCGATGATGAGCAAGCACATCGAGTAACTATGAGTACCATCTTTGGGAGCAACAGATTCCTAATTCTCGCTCATATTTGGATGATGAAAAACCTTGGAGAGCTTCCAAGAAAAGCAAAAAATAGTTTGAATAGTATTTTTACTTGTTTGAGCGTTATTTCAGTTCTTTTTTTTTTTTGTATTTCATTGTTGAATCAGTTAGGTACTTTTTAGACAGTTTAATTAACGTGAGGGAATTTAATTTCAAGATATAAGTAAGTTTGGGCCTTTTGGTCAAAAGTTTAATTATAAGGACAAAGATTGTCCAGAACATAAAATATTTCATATAAAAGAGGGGAGTGGATGGGCTGGAGAATGATCACTTACTCCTCTTTTCAGAAGGAAAAAAAAAACTTGCCTTGAAAAAAAGAAGCCTAAGTCTTGAGCCCTAGGTGGGAGGAAACCTTACGTTTCTCCAAAATTGCATGTGCCTAGCTGATTTCTTGCAGATTTTTAGAAGGCACTTAATTAGTTTTACTTCATTAATGCATTTTGATGCATTGATCTTATTTTCTAAATATTAAAGAAGTATAAAACGTGTCTTACTCTTTACATCCATTACTCTTATCAAGTTAGGGAATACACCACTTGGTGAATGTCAAAAATGTGGGAGTAAACTTGTAGTCAGGATTTTCAGGAAAGCCAATTGCAATCCATGGTGTTCTCATTGTGAAATTCCAAATATAACAAGTACTAAAATGTAATTAAAAATGGCAATAACAAATATGCCGCCCTGTGTACCCATGTGTGAGAATCTCTCTCTCTCTCTCTCCCCATTTCTGCCCTAAGGGTGAGGAGAGAGAAAGAGATGGATTGGTTGCTCAGAGGGAACGGCCCATTGGGCTTCTCATATTCTTCAATAGCAAAGTGAGTAAGCAATGGCATCGATGCTACTGGTCTTCCAGCCATTGTTGCAGATGTGTCTTTTACTTCTTTTTTCTCACTTAGATTCTTATCTTTTGAAAATTTGGGGCCAGGGGAGAGAGACCAAGAAGGGCAAGAGAGAAAGGTGAGATGCCTGCAAAAAAAGATGAAGATAGAGAGAGAAAAATGTTGTGGATGGGGGAGAGAGAGAGAGAGAGAGAAATGGCGGAAGGGGGAGACAGAGAGAGAGGCGGTGGGTGGGAGAGAGAGAGAGACACATGTCCCATGCATTCCCTTCGTTGGCCACATGCGCTCTCTTTACCTCCTTTCCCAGCCACATGCCCCCAACTCTCCGCCCAATCTCTCACTCCCCAATGTTCTTTTTCTAGGATTAAAAAAAAATTGAGCTGGCCTGGCTTAGGTCAAGCTGCAACAAAGATTTTTAGTCAGCCCAGGTCAAGCCCAAAAATACACTTTCAGGCCATGTCGAGCGGGCCTGTCCTGAAACCATTCCAGCTTTTCTCGGGCTGGGAAGCCCTATCTATGAACTAGAGGCTTTTGTATATATGCCCATCTACTTAAAATGGGATGGCTCGACACGCATTCGCTTTCTCCATCCAATGTTTCTTATCCATTTTATAAGCTAGGAGCATTCCCATGTCATATATATTTTTATTGTACAAAAATCCAGTGAATAAAAAAGACATAACGAATGACGGCTATATTGGGATAAAAGCACATGGTATTATCATAAGCAAGTAAAAATTGTCCTTCAATTGCAGTACTTTTCACATTGCCCATTTACCAAATCTTGGACTTGCGGTTCAGGATCAAACATTATTGTAGCATCCTTTAGACCAATATGACTTCCCTCTGTCTAAAAGGTTGAGCAGTCAAAAAGAATGTGAGGTTTGACAATAATAAGAAAAGTAAGCAGACTTCCTATTTTCCAGTCTTGCCTCAATTGCCTCTTCCGCCGCTCCATGGCCTTATACGTAATCCATTGTGGACCTTTTGTCACCATCCACCCAGAGCAAGACTTCTAACTAATAGGTTAGTAAGACTCAATTCATATTCTCAAGCCTTCCAAAATAAAAATCTAAAACTCTCCCCATAAAAAAAGAACCAAAAATTATTTCCACATACTCACCCCTTTCCACTGACACCAATGTCAACCATGCATAAGACGTAAACATCTACATGAAATGTTTGACTGCCTAAGCAAATCGAAATAACTTAGTTGTGTTGTGACAGCGATTCTTGAAGGCTTAGTTCCTATTATATTGTATTTAAGTCTCCAGGGACTAAATTGTTCTTTCTTCCACAAAAGGATGTTCTTGTACAGTAGATAGTTATTTTTTAAAACTAATATAAATATAAGAGACACTAGAAGTCCGTAGGACCTAACATTACCCTCTCTCTTTCTACCTCTCTCAACATCCTCTTCTTTCCTTATTTTCCCTTTCATCAAGCACTTGATCTCTTCATCTATTTTCTTCCTTCTTCTCCTCCTTTAATTATTTACCGTTGTATTTTAAATTGGAATTAGAGAGGGAAAATTCCTGAGGTTTTTGTTTTTTGAACTCTAAAGATGTGATTTGGAACAGAAACCCTAGATCTAGATGTCATGGTTCTATGATGTCAAAATTTTGTTGGCAGACGACTTATATAGATCAAATCAATGTTTATGAGTTGTGAAACTCAGCTTTTCTCAAGATTTCTCATATGGATGATGATCTCAGGTCCCTCTTAA